CCTCTGTGCTGCACTCCCTCAGCACAACATTCCCTCTGTGCTGCACTGGAGGGTCAGCCTGGATTTTGTGCTTAAATTTCTGGAGTGGGACTTGAACCCAAAATGTTCTAAATCAGAGTTGGGCTGGAAACCAATCAAGCAAAGGTCATTGTTGCCAATGGGTGCAAAAAGTAAGCAGGTATGCTAATGCACTGCAGCTCTTGAGTATCACAGCAGTCAGGTTAAAAATCCAATGCCGAGTATCTTAACAGAGAGGGAAAGGAGTCAGTGAGCTTCGCGAGGAAAGTGAACTTGGGCTTTAATGTGAGTTCCTAAGAGATCCCATAGTAGGAGTCAGCAATGTTGGTCTTCAGACCCAGAATGTAACACTGAAGGATCAGATATTCCCAGGTGCTTCCAATACACTAAGTAGCAGTTCAGCTGAGAGTAGCAGGTTGGATCTGGATTCTTGTCAAATACAACAAACATTTTATTAAGCAGCACCTATGGGACCAGGAGTGTACAAGCTGATCAAGAGGTCCATATAACCAACAGAAAAACACACACTAAGTAATAGAAAAATAATGCACATTTTGGGGTGTACACAAACAATAATGCAAATTTGCCTGAAACAAAACTGTTTGGCAGACAGCCTTCTCACCTGCACCCCCAACTGACTACTCAGACATTGCAGAGGTTGCGATAAGACAGTAAACTTCATTGTATCTCAGGTATATAATTTTTGTCGATTTATCAAGAGTGCCAGTTCAAACAAAGTTTGCTTTATCTACAATCGAATGTAGTAGCAAATACAACTGCTGTTAAATGTACAATATTGCAACAAAGGTTAAATTGCTGATGACAAAAAAGCATTTGTTTGAATCATATATATCAAAAGGGAGCAGTTTGTTCAACAGTAGGAAGGAGTAATGACGCAGCACACAAGGAGAACCAGGCAGAACAATGGGTGACCGTAGGGTGAAGCTATAACTAGCAGGGAACCAGGGAGAGGACAGGTATTTAATTTCCTGTTAATGCAGAGGGTTATGATCTGGAATGTGCTTCCTCTGGAAACAGTTTCAATAAGCCTGTAGAAGGGAGTTGGATAAATACCTGAAAAGGACAAACAAAAAGTGTTGCAGGGCTAGGGGAAAGTGGAAGTGAATCGGCCTACAGGGATAACTTTCTCAAAGAGCCAGCATAAGCTTGAAAGGCCAAATGGCCTGGTTCAATGCTGTATCATTCAATTCGTATCAGTCCTTTTTTTGACCACTTGTGACATGGTCTTGAGGGAAGAAGGTCAAACTGACCTGCTGCTTTTTCAGGGGCTGGCACTATCAGTTAGCTCCAGTCTTTATGGAGATTGTGCTCAAGCAAGGGTCCTGCTGGTGTTCAGGCACATAACTCCATAAGGTGCTGCCCTACCATGCAGTGGGCAAATTCGAGTGGGAATGGGGCACCGACTTGCCAATAAATGATCCTAGTGTGATTGAGCAGGCTGTGAGATGGCTGCAGGTTGCAAGACACCAGAAAACAAATGGAGGCTTTACCTTTTCCACTGGTAGGTAGCCTGGGGATAATTTAGGGAAATAGTTACAGTACAAAGCAGAAGCCACGAGTTTCAATCCCACAACAGTGAGACGTGAAACCTACTCCAAACATCCACAGCACTGGCACAGTGTGACTGGAATGTGCATAATCTCCCAAGATGCAGTGCAAAGATTCGCCAAGGCCTCTTCGATAGTACCACCCGAACCAACCACCTCAAGGCCAAGGGCAGCAGGTGTAAACACCATCACCTCTAAGACATTCTCCTCTCAGATTCCGACCCAACAACAATGAAGGGGAACGTCTGCTGCCAAAATGCTCACAGTTGCATGTGCCAGTGATGCATTTGCTCATATTTATTGTGCTTATGTGGATGCTACCATATTTTTTATTGGAAAGGCATTTCTAAAAGTGTGCAACGCAGGACTCTTGTGCATCTATAATGAGAACCTTTAGGGGGTGTCAGGAAATTCAGCCACAAAGGAACAGTTCACTCTCAGCGAGAAGAAATCCTTAACTTTACAGCACGCAGGATGCACTGAGGGTGCAGTGACAGCACTGTGACTGAAACATAGAAAATAAGAGCTGGAATAGGCCATTCAGCCCTTCAAGCCTGCACCTCCATTCAACATGATCATGGCTGATCGTCCAACTGAGTATTCTGTTCCCAGTTTCTCCCCATTACCTTTGATTCCTTTAGCACTAAGAACTGTATCTATCTCCTTCTTGAAAATATTCAATGTTTTGGCCTCAACCACTTTCTGTGGTAGAGAATTCCACAGGCTCACCACTCGCTGGGTGAAGAAGTTTCTCCTCAGCTTAGTCCTACATGGCCTATGCCCCGTGACCCTCT